GATTTAATGAATTTATGATACTATTTTTAGTTTGATATCTTTTTTAATCAGCTTGTTATAATTTTTTAAAAAGTGTCCACACTTATATATTAGGCCATTGTAAAATTAGAATTCATGAAGCTAGACAAATGTGTTGGTCTTTAGAAAGGACTAAATAAACCAACTAGACTATCAAAATTTCTAAATTTCAAAGAAAAAGATTATATGCCAAAGAACATGTAAACCAAAAATGTATGATTACAATCTATTTTTTCAGGCTATCTAAATTGACAACTTATTGGAACTTGAATTAAATATCAAAGTAGTAGAAATATATTGTAAAGTTAGTACTAGAATTGAAGTAAACTTTACAAGAGTATAGCAGTTTAATAATATGCTCTAATTGCAAATGTTAGTCTTAATTATAGTGATATTAGATCAATTGCAAGAATAAGATACAAAAAATTCTAAAAGGTTTAGTACAAGATCAAAGATTCCTTATATGAGTGAACTGCTTTAAAGACTTAGTAATAATAATATATTTTCATTAGTATCAGCCAGAATTATTAGTAGGTAGAGGTAGGTGGGTGAATACAGAAACTAAAGTGTTTAAATAAGGAATCTACAAGCAGATTTCAAGTATAGCAACTAATATAAAACCTTTAGGTAAACTACTTAAATTAGACAATGACTAAAGTCATATAAGTGACTAGTTGTATGCTCTTTCTATAGTTGTCCTATGGTTGTAATGCAACTATTAGCCAAATATACTATCAATAAAATCCTGAATTACAAGTACTCATCTTAATATTTAAAAAAAAAAAATTTCAAAAATATATAATTGTTTTTTTAAGTTTTAAATTTATTTTGATTAAATTTTTTAACTGTTTATTAATACTAACTTATAAATTAAATATTTTATAAAATCTTTTAACAAACCTTATCAAGTTGACTACAGAATAACCCAATTAAATATCTTATTAGTTTTTATTAACAATGATAGATAAGTTCTATTTAAAAAACAAATTTTTAACTATAAATTTAGATAGAGTATTTAACTACTTTGGCCAAAAAATAATTCAAATTATTAAAAAAGTTACAATTCATCTAAAATCTTGCCATTGCCACTTTTATTTTTGCTAATGCCACCTCTTACATAGTCTAACTCCAATCAATAGTTAGGGTTAGAAATGTTGAAGGTCAATCAGATTAAGTGAAAAGGTAACAGCAAAAAATAGAAGACAATTCCCTTAATCTATTATATGTCACCTTGAATATATATATTTTTTTTTAAAAAAAAAATTGATTATTTTAAACTTTATTCAATGCGCTTATAATTTATATTCGTGTATTTTTTACCTTTTATGTTCTAATTTTTGTTAAAATTAAAATATTTTCAAACTATAGCCAAACTATAAAATATATATTTTTAGATAATTACTAAAACTTTGCGATTAAAAAAAATTTAATAAAAGACTCTAAAATCCTACTATAAGCAAAATTTGAAACATTGCAATGTATATTAATCTTGAATATCATTATTGTCTATTTATAAATAATTTTATATATATACTGTATAATCTACAAGTTACAAATAATATAATTAAAACAAAAAAAAATCAACTATATACTACATATTAAATTAAGGACATTAGTGTTTATGAAAACAATTATTACAATTGTTCTTTTTAAATACATTAGGTGAAAAATCATCACAGCCACATTCTGCGCATGGTTCAACATCGTCATTAGAAGCTGTATTTTTGCCAAGAAATTCTTGAGGAATATACGAATTTCTTGATGTACTAACATTTGGTGGGGTATTAGTTCGGGAAATATTAGCCGCAGTTGATGAATAATCTGTTGCTTTTTGACGTGATATAGAGCTGCGAGAAGGTGGAGGTTTAGAAGTACGGGATGGAACAGGTGGTATTGCAGATGAAGTGCTTGAATGCGTTGAAGATCTCGACGATGTTTTGCGAGGTGGCACACTGTGATAATTATTGCGCGATGAAGCTTTTTTCTGTGGAGACTCTTCATTTGATTCATTGTCTTCAAACTGATTAGGTTCTTCGTATATCTGTTCATCATTTTGATCATCATCTTCATGAGAAGGTTCTCTAATTGAATTTGACACTCTACGTGATGATTTCGTAGGTAATTCTTCTGTATAATTTGCAGGAAACATGCCTCGCCGTCGAGTACCATCGTCATCAATAATTTCTCCGATCCACCAACCTTCGTGTTCTTCTAAGACGGTGATAATATCACCTTCCTCAATCGCAAGCTCATCTTCACCATCACCTTCATAACTATATACAGCTTTTACTTGTTTTTTTTGTGTAAAGGAACCACCTTATATAACAACAAGGAATTAATAGAATTAATATAAAGTTGATATAAATACATTAATATTAATAAACTGCTCACTTGTTCTTCGGGCAGGAGACTGCCTGCCTTCCGAATCCAAAGATTTAACAGAAGATCCCGATGACTTGTTACGAGTCGACGCATTGGGGACACTAAGATTATTACCATCTTTTTTAGAATTATTACTTGCATAATTTTTAGATTTCCTGGCAGTTGATCGAGATTCTCTGGAGCGATTGTAACTCGAATGTGAATGGGAACTTTCATTGTCAGAATTTTGGTCATCAGGCTCATCTGATTGAGAATTATTGGAATCTTTATTGTTTTTCGAAGTTCGACTACGCCGTGTTGATGTCGTTGAAGAGCTGTAAATCAAAAGAAAATAATTAATTATTAAATAAATTTGGTTTTTGAGTATATTTTATAAAAAATCAACCTTTGAACCCAGTCTTTTTTCAAGTTTGATAGAATTTCATAACTGTTTTTAAAATATTCTAGTTGTGAATCTAAAAATGCAGTCAATTCTTGTATGTATTGATCCTAATAATATTTTAAATCATAAATTAATTACAAGTAACTTTGCAAATAGTAGTTTTATTAAAAAAGACTGACTTCGGATTCGTTTATTGTTATCATTTTTTTATGAAGCTCGTCTTTTGTATTTTCGTATTTCTCTTTAGCAGAGCGCATTTCTTCTTCTAGTTCCGGCTTTTCCTTCTTTGATTTTTGCATTTTATTTAATTTTGCATCATAATTGAGTCTACGAGATTCCAATTTTCTATTCATTTGCTATTAATATTCATAATAAAAGAAGCATTTAATAATTTATTCCAATTAATAAGATAAATAAATAAGTATATATATATAAATATAGCACTTAAAGCTTACTTGATATTGTTTCAATTCTTCAATAGAAGCATCCAAACTTTCGAGAAATTCTTCACGAACTTTTGATGCATGTTCTAATTGACAACTTGCGACCTTTTCATTAGCAGTACCAAGTTTGACCAAAGCCGCTCCTTTAATAAATGCATTGTTAAGATTATGCGTATTTAAAAGGATTGAAATACAATAATGTGGTAGTAGAAAATGAATTAACAATACCGTAAGAAGAATCGGAGCCTAGCTCTTCACCATAAACTCTCATAGCAATGCCTAAAGACTCGATAGGTAATGCTTTCGTTTTCTCTTCTATGGATGCCACCTTTTTTGCTATGTATACATACATGTTTTTAAATCAATTAATTTTTAAAGGTTACCACAAAAGTTTCAGTAAATGAAATAAAAAGAATACCTACACATAACCTTTAAATAGCTGCTTGTAGCAAATATGAGCTTATCTACTCCACTATGCCTAGCATCAGTTCTTTGTTGCAGTTCTTGAAATTCATCTGTGGTCTGCGTCTTTTGAGAAGCACCCACTTTTTCATTGGCCCACTAATGCCACGGAACAATAACAAAATGTATAGATTGTTAATAACTTGAAGCGATCTAAGAGAGTAATAAGTGGATGCAGTATCTGTAAAAGACCTGTTTTAATTTTCCAATTTTCTTCATGCTCCCAAATAGTTTTTAAAGATCGCAAGTAATAGAGGTAATAAAGGAGCGTAAAAGATAATCGGTTATTTATATTTGAACCACAATAGAAAATAACGATAATTGAGATGAAACAAATGCAGAAATGTAGAAAACATGGTTTATTTAAATGTTGGCAAGTTGTGTAATCATGCTGTTGTCTGTTTTGGGTTTTGAATTTTCCTTTAATCAAGAGATTACGTTGTACAAGATAATATTTACCTGTCACGTACTACGACTTAATAGGCATAGTAAGAAAAACGGATCGAACCATATTCAATTCGTTATACGTACAGGGAATCAAACAAATCCTACCCGCCAAGCTAGTCTCAATTAGGAAGTCTGAGACTCCATTTAAAATGATTATGAGCTCACGGACTGCATTTTAGGCATCGAAACCTAAAACTCAATGACTTATTGTATTTTGCACTAAATATAGAGACAATTCTCTAATGACAAAATCATTCGGGATGCGACGCAATGCGTGCGGGAAGTGCAAAAAGAATCGCAATAGAAAGAATAAGTAGAAAATGCTGTCGACTATATATTCCATAAACAATTTCAATGTAGGAGACATCATTGAGGCTGAGTTCCAAGGGCCGATGGCCAACGAAGTAATAGGACGACAAAGGAAATCAAAGGCGGCGATGACTATTCGTGGAAATATCATCTTATTGGCTACTGACAAGTGGCAAGATCCATATGTATGCTGTCAATCAAACGAGACACAAAGCAAAAAAGATAAATATTCCAATTGTAAATCGTTATGTTTGTTAATACTGCAGAAGAAGATTAAGGTGCGAGTTCTTGGCGTTGCTGGACATCCACCATGGATTTCTTTATCCATGCTTGAGCCTCAGGAAGTGATTGATTATCGATATCAAGACTTAAATATTTCTGATTATTCGTCCATCATGATAGCTATACAAATCTTACATAAGCTGTTTGACTAGCAATGGTAGCCAAAACGTTTAGATGTCAAGACTTAGTCTATAGCGATCCGCTTTACACAGTATATAGCTGAGAACATATGACTTACACCCAATCATACTTTCTCATGAGTAGGTTGTTAATGTAAATCTATGTGCCCCAAACCGGAGATCGACGCATTACGGCCACTCAGATTTTCTGATTACGCAAGTTGAAAAAATGCTAGTTGAAATAAGATCGACTCATCATACCTAAACATATAAACCACTCTAAAGATTGGAATCGCCTAAAAATTTTCTTAATCATTTTTAAACGGTTAAATGGTTCCAATCCCTAAACCATTCCAGCTTTAAACTGGAATGATTTATGTTCTATTATAGTTTGAGTACTCGATGACCGTACGGGTGACCCGACCCGATGGGTCGAAAATTGCTCTAACCCGGGTCAAACGGGTCAGAATTCAAAATATGCTATATTACGCAATTACGTAATTTACTAAATATGTAGTAAAGCTCTTACTCGGATCTTCTGACCCGTGCGGGTCAGCTTTATGAAGGGTCACGTATTTTCCAGTTTAAATATTTGGAGGACAGGCTGTTCTCTATACTAACAGCTCTATTAAAAGTCGCTACATCAACTTTAAGAATTAACATCAAAAACTTTATGAATTCCCTTTGACCCGTTGACCCCCGGGTCGGTATTTCCGAGGGTAGGATCTAAATTTTCGAGTTACATAAATTCCGGGACACCTGGCAAAAAATTAGCCGAATGATTTTTCAGCCGATCCGGTTAAGTAGTTAATTTCGGCAGTATTCGGTATAACGATAATATAGACCAGGGTAAAAATCGCCACCCAAAAAAGTTAACAACCCTAGCGTCGCCTTCAAAAAATGATTATTGGCAATTTTTACTACAAATCAAAAAAAGAAAATTCACTATCATTACTGGGTACCCTTATGTCAAGAAAATCCCGGGCTGAAGATCGCTGAAGATCATTTCCGACCCTATCCGGATCCAATAAAATCACAGGATCTAATGTAACAAAACAAACGCGAAAAAACATAAAAAAAACGTAAATAACACAAAATTTACTATGGTAGAAGAAAAAAATTTTTATTCGTTATTGTATGGTAATGATAATGAATTTTACAAGTACACAGTGGTAATGATGAATTTCCTTGTGTCAAGAAAATCCCGAGCTGCCGGCCAAAAAGATATGGGCTGCAGTATATAAAAATTCTCTATATATTTAACATTAACAATCGTGTTTTATAAGTAAAATTTCATTCTGAAAACTTTTTACTTAGAGGTCGAAAGTTAGTCATCATCGTTACTGCTGTGCTGTTATTGCTTAAAATTTTTATGGAGTTGCTTATAGTTTTATGCTACTTTTTATTTATTTGATTTTTTTTTTTTTGATTATTAGCACATTTAAATCAACAAATTTTTTTTTATAACGATAAGTTCTTTTACTATGTCAAATAAGCAACCCAAATCCTGCACATGATGTCATACTATTCAAATAATGAAGATTTTTTGAATGAAAAAGGAATCAAAATAAAAAAAATTTACATAATTTTTTTTTTTTTTTTTTCCTCTTTGGCAGCCTTGCCATTAATCTTTATTAAGATTTGTATTTACAAATTTGTACATACTTT